GAAAGCTTATGCTCCCAATACTTCTGTTAGTCTTAAAGGTGCCACAGGACCCTCTGTTGCTTTTTACAGATTCAGACTAATACGGCTACCCCTCTGATACTTAGCACTAAGAAAGTCTTCAATCCCTATATTGTCCCCACAGATTTGTGCATGGATGGAACTCTCCTTGCATGGATTTGCTTCTTCCCATGCAAAGTTTGCAGATTAGTTGCCTGTGTGGCACCATCTTCTTGCTTCTGCATAAGGGGTGAGAGTGGAGACTTGAGGAGCTAGTGACAGTTGTGGGCAGGCTGGGAAAGAATGAACATCATGCCTTTTGAAGCTCTGCAGAGATTCCTGGGAAGAGATAATACAGCATGAGGTTGGGTCCCTAGTAGCATTCCTCCAGCACCAGAAAGGGTAATGGGGGTCAGAGACAGTGCCTGCCAAAGAGTCATCACGTAGGGTGAGGAATGAAGAAATTAGAAACCTGGAAGGTTTCCAGTCTAAGACCCTAGTTCTGCAAACACTTATGTATATGCTTAGCTCTACTCATGTTGGTAGTCAGATTGAAGTTGATAGAACAATTTGTGTGCTTAAAGTTAAGAACGTGCATAAGTGTTTATAGGATTGAAGTCTAAGGTCCTGATTCAGGAAAGCATTCCTATTAAAGTTAAGCACATGCTTAAGTCCCATTTACTTCAGTGGGGAACTAGGTACATGTGTAAGTGTTTTCCTGGGCAGGGATGGACTTTAATACACGCCTAACCGCTTTCTTGTTTTGGGGCCTAAAAGACAGACACTTGAAGGATTGGGAATGGGGATGTAACATGAAAGCAAATTAATATGGTGAAGAATTGACACAGCCTTTGACAATCACATTTGGTTGTTGGCTGTTTTTGTTTCTTCCTTTCTTCTAATTTTTTTAAGTAAGGTAGAGGTCGGGGAGGAATAGGGAAGTTAGTAAGTGCGAAGGAGTGAGTAAGAGCGAGGTAGTGGTAAAAGGAAGAGGCACAATCAGCTTGTTACCTACTTAGCCACGATCAGCAAACGGTTTTGTAGGCATCACAGCAGAGGTGAATCTTAAATAGGGATTTCAAGTAAAGGACAGTGGCTTTACAGATTTTATGAAATAGGAAAAAGCATGAAGGTATCTGAGTATTAGCCAAAGTTGCCAATGTGAACTAGTTCAAACAAGATCCATAAGTAACACAGAACAATTAAGTTCAACATCTACTTGAATTAACTGCCCAAAAACTTGGTTACCACAGAGTTATGGTTGCCCAGGGGTGCCTTATGTTGTTTTTCCAGCACTTGGAGAGTGGCTAAACTTTATCCTCTGAAAGCCAAAGCAAAGACAAGTTAAGGTAACACAAATTTAAACTTCTGAAAACCAGAAGTTTAAGTTTAGCCACACTCCAAATGTTGGAAGGGCATGTCTCAGCACTAGGCAACCTTGACTCTGCATTAATTATGGTTTTGGACAGTTAATTTCACTCACCCCCAATGTCCCACAGCTCAGCTCTCCCCCTCCACTGCTTCTGACCCATTCACAATTACTGTAGTCACAGAAGACACTGGCATATGAACGTTAGTCCCTTCATTCCCCCTGCGTCATCTCCTTGCCCCCCATCTCTCTGCCTCTCCAACACAGATGAGTCCTCCCTCTTTCAGTGTTGCCAAGTATCACAAATTTATCGCAAATGATGCAATTTTGGCCTCTTCTGGAGCCAGTCTCACAGGGACAGGAGAAGGTCCAGCATTCATGCAATTTTCAGACTATACAGGAGAAAACCCCCTTAAATTGGCTGCCTTCCCTACTTTTCTGCCTCCTGGAGAACAGCTAATGACAGCTGCTTCAGGAGGCAGGCAGAACTCTCTCCCTCCCCCTTCTCCTCAAGAGCAGGTTTTGGATAGGGAGAGGAAGACATGGAGAAGGCAATACATTTTCACAAGGGAGATGGGTAAAGGAGGTAGCAGAAAGAACCCCATATCTTAGGGCTCCTTCCCTCCACCTCTCTTGTGAAAGACAGGTCAAGTTCTTCTCTGCTCATCCCTCTTCCTTTCTAATGCTGCACTTCCAGGCTATGACAGGAGAAAGGAGAACCTTCTTAGACCTGCCCTCCCACCAGGCATGGGAATGGGTGAAGAACCTCTACACCTCCACAAGGAGGAAAGGTGTTCTGGTAGCACGGAGCAGATGTGAGACTGCAGGCAATGGGAATGCACAATTGTGTGACTGGGTGGGTGGACTGGGTTGGAAGAGAGAACTGGGAGGGCACAAAATTAACTGATTTGGGGTTGAGGGTACAGAGTCAATGTGGGGGCTGGGGCACAAAATTGATTGATGTAGGGGTGCAGTGGCCAAAATTTCTTACTATAGACTGGCAACATTAATTGTCAGACACATTGGGGCTCATTGTGACAGAGGTGCTCTACTCACCATTGAACAGCACCCCCTTCAGGCAAATCAGGGGATTAGCTCACCCAGTTTAGCACCCCTTTCCAACAGTCACAAGCACATCATCCCACTCACTCCTTCCCTCTCTTCCACCATTTGCCACTCTCCTCCTGCTCAAGGAATCGCAGTGTAGCTACTTCACAACTCAGCCCTCCTGCCAGGTCACACCATGGTTTCCCCTTTGGGGGGGGGGGGGAGAGAAAGAGAAATACTTGCCAAGCATCTCTGGACAAGTATCATTCAGCAATCCTCATGCCTGCTGCTCTGACCCTGTCACTCCTGCTGTGAGGGGCAGTGAACTAGCAGACTGCCTGAGTCACAACATCACTTGGCAGTGGTTGGTAGGATTGGTTGGAAGGCCCACCCTCTACTCAGAGTTCCAGTCCAGGGCCCTTTACCAAGCAGCCAAGGTCTGCAGTTTCCCTCACCTTACTGCTCTCAGCCCTGGACTTCTTCCTATCTTGCTTTAATAGAATCATAGGGTTGGAAGGGACCTCAGGAGGTCACCTAGTCCAACCCCCAGCTCAAAACAGGACCTAATCCCCAACTAAATCATCCCAGCCAGGGCTTTGTCAAGCCTGACCTTAAAAACCTCTAAAGGAAGGAGATTCCACCACCTCCATAGGTAACCCATTCCAGTGCTTCACCACCCTCCTAGTGAAAAAAGTTTTTCCTAATATCCAATCTAAACCTCCTTTCACTCTTCCTACTCAAATTCTTCTCTCTCCTAGGGTCTACTAGCTCAGTGCCAATTGTGTGATTTGCCGGGGGAGCTCCACTCCTGCTCCGTCCCAGGTCCTGCCCCCATTCCACCCCTGCCCCCAACCTAAGGAACAGCAGCATGACAGGGAAGGGTGAGTGTAGAGCCCCTTCCCCACTGCTGGAGGCAGCCTGGGGAAGGAGTGGAGTTCTGATTCTTTCCATTGTTCAGTGAACAGTGGAGGGAAGGGAAGCCCTGGATCCCACTCCCTCAGCCTGATGGAATAGCCATAGGGAGGAAGTGTTGGGAGATGGTGTATTTGTAGGGGCAGGGACTAGAGCACCATTTTAGTCAGTGTCAGCCTTACAATAGGGCTCTATTAGGGCTGTTTGTGTTTAAAAAACAAAAAACAAACCACCCACCACTAACATTTTAACGTTCATTTAAAAAAAAAAACAACCTCTCAGAAGCTCCTTGCTCAACTGATTTCAAATTTGCACCACTAAGCCTACCTCAGGTCTCATGAGGCACAGCAATTTCCAAGAAATTCCCCGTAAGCATTTGGATTTTAGAGGACTTAAACAGCTTTTTTTTTTTTTTTTTTTTAAACCAGTAAGCTAGCTTCCACTTTAACTATTTTGGTGCTACTATCCCCCTATGAGGAGTTTTCCTTCCTAACAAAGGCTTAGTTCTCTGCAAATTTCTTCTATGCATGAAATAGTGTACAGTAGCTAGAGGTTAAGACAGTTGATGTTTCCCCATTTATCAATAGAAAATGTTGTGCAGCTCTGTAATAACTTAGAAAATAAACAAGTAAACTTTAGTATGAAACATCCCTTTACTCTAAGTGCCTGTGTAGGCCATCATATTTCCCCCTGCTTTTATAGAACAGCCACGTACAAAAGTTTTAGGTGTCCCCTAAGATTTCCATAAAATCAAGGTTATATGTATACAAAATATAGACCCAGACATATTAAAGGCAATCTGATTTTTTTCCCCCAGCATAATTATGGCAGATTTTTCAGAGTCAGAAGGAGCTGGAAATTGGAAAGAAAGATGTGTAACTCTGGAGTCACAGCTGATGAAATTTCGTCTCCAGGCAAGCAAGATCAGAGAGCTGTTAGCAGAGAAGGTAGGTCTTATTCTATTAAAATTAATAATTTATATAGACAGTTTTATTTGATAATAGGGGATGAGACTAGTCTTGCTTCAGACAGTGGAAAAGTTTCCCCACTTATCTCACTGCGCCAATGCAGCATTTTAAGTGTAGACCTGTCCATTGTCACCAGGGCCGCCCAGAGGATTCCGGGGGCCTGGGGTCTTCGGCAGCGGGTCCCGGGGCGGAAGGACCCCCCACCGTGGGTCTTCGGGGCACTTCAGCGGCGGGTCCCGGAGTGGAGGGACCCCCCGCTGCTGAATTGCCGCCGAAGACCCGGAGCTTCTTCCGCTCCGGGGGCCCGGCCCCCCCCCGAGAGTTTTCTAGGGCCCCCGGAGCAAGTGAAGGACCCCGCTCCAGGGGCCCCTGCGGGGCCCGGGGCCTGGGGCAAATTGCCCACTTGTCCCCCCCCGGGCGGCCTTGACTGCCACTGAGTACAAGCACAACCTTGGGAATTACTAATTCATGCAGAGACCAGGATCCAGAAACAGCAGGAGATGATGGGGGCTTTTTTTATTCGGAAAATTATAAAGGGGCATAAAATTAAAGAGAAGCCTCCTTCAGAGGAAAGTAAAAATAGAACAATTCCTTCCCTCCATTGTAACCAGTATTTTATCCTAGGTTTGCCTGCTGTTTTATTTTTAAGTAGGGAATGTCTGATTCAAATGACTTTCCCTATATTAGAGGCCATTCAGGCTTACATTTATATGTGATGTAACAAGTTGTATACAGAAAAGTACATTTTCACCATATTACATTAACTACTAGTGGTTTACAACATACAGTGCAAATGGGAAAAGTAATTAGCAGGTATGAATTTCAGGTTGCTATATCCTGTACAAGAAAAATTGAAACCAAGCACTCCATCCATGAGAAATACACTACTTTTCCCTTGTACTAGAAATACCATGCAGTTCAATACCATGTCAAAAATTAGCAGTCTATGGCTCTAGGAACATATAGTCATAGAATGCAAATAATGTGGGTTGTCTGTGTCTGCATTCTAATTCTTTATCCAAAAGTTGTGTGATATTGCACCAGATTGGAGGCACATATTAATACAGAGGGCCAAATTCACCAGTACGCTGCAGCTACGTTGTGCTGCTCTAATGATGCAAAACAATTGTAAACCTGGCTGGCTAGCTCAGATTTAGATCTGCTTTACAGTGTCATTGTAGTTCAATGTAGCTAAAATAGACTACTGAATAGAATCATAGAATATCAGGATTGGAAGGGACCTCAGGAGGTCATCTAGTCCAACCCCCTGCTCAAAGCAGGACCAATCCCCAGACAGATTTTTACCCTAGTTCCCTAAATGGCCCCCTCAAGGATTGAACTCACAATCCTGGGTTTAGCAGGCCAATGCTCAAACCACTGAGCTATCCCTCCCCCCCGACAACAACAATTCCATTTAATGGCAACTTCAAGGTTTCTCATTAGATTGATAACTTTAAAAAGTTTTTGCAGAAATGTAACTGTGGATAGTTAGGGTACTGGCTGAGATGTGGGAGATGCAGGTTCATCTTGCTGCTCTGCCTGATTCAAAACACAGTTTTTCCATCCCACATCACTTCAGAATAGTCAGAGCAGGGACTTGAACCTGTCTTTTCCACATCTCAGGCCAGTACCCTAACCACATAGCAGTAAAGTAACTTTCAATATCCACCCCACCCCCCAAATAAACCTTCCAGATGAAAGTTTTGTGGAAACCAGTACATCTCTCTGAAAAAGTGTTGTCTTTGACAAAACAGCATGCTTTGTGAAATAAAATTGTTCTTACCAGCTCTACTGCTGAATTGGGTCCAGAGTAGATTTTTGTAGGTTTAACAATAAAATAGAAATAATTAGTTCTAGGGAGGAGTCAAAAGTGTAATAAAGAAATATAGCTATTGGTTTTCACTGTTGTTTTAAAGTTTCCATTTTTATGTAATTGACAAAGTTAAAAGCAAATAGAATTTGACAGTACCATCACTCTTCTCCCCTCCCCGCTCTGTTTGTTGTTGAGTAGTGGCCAAAACAAGACTCCTGTTTAACATCATACAGTGTGTATCTTTTTGTAATAAAAAAAATTTGGAATGGGAATTATTTTGTACTAAATGTGTGTAACCGGAATCCCAGGGGAGCCAGCTGAGGTCAGTTAGGGTGCACTGCAAAGAATGGGGCAGCCAATCCCCAAAGCTGGTGGATATTCCAATACTTAGATTTAATAAGTCAGCACAAAACAGCTTCTGTTATGCCTCAGTGGTTACTCAGAAGTCAACAACGCAGTTCCTTTAAAGTAACCCAGCCTCTGCCCTCCACCAAGTCAACCAAGTCAGATATGATGAGGATTAATGAAAATCTTAATCATACAAAAAAGGTTCTACCAATCTCAAAGGATTGGACACATTATCTCCCAGGTTAATGAATATTCCAGATCTTACCCAAATACACACTTATTAAGTCTTAAGTCTTATTAACTAAACTAAAATTTATTAAAAAAGAAAAGGGAGAGTATGATTATAAGATCAGTATGCATAGACATGAGTTCAATTCTTGAGGTTCAGATTCATAGCAGAGATGGTGAGCTTTGTAGTTGCAAAGAGTTCTTTCAGAAATAGTTCATAGTCCAGTGTTTATATTTCAGGGCGGTCCAGTCAGAACTGGGATCTCAGTCTTTGTGGCTAAGGCTTCCCCTGCATGAAACCTCAAGCAGATCTGAGATGACAGGATCAAGACCCAACAGTCTTTTATACAATTCCAGGCCTTCTTTGACAGGTCAGAGTCCTTAGGCCAACAATAGGCAATCAGGGCGACTTTGAAGTAGGTCAGTTTCCCAAGTATCACTGGCAATTAGCTACACTAATTAATATAAGGCAATTGCTTATTTTCCCACCATTTACAGATAGGGTGACCAGATGTCCCGATTTTATAGAGACAGTCCCGATTTTTGGGTCTTTTTCTTATATAGGGTCCTATTACCCCCCACCCCCGTCCCGATTTTTCACACTTGCTGTCTGGTCACCCTATTTACAGATGATTTGCTATACATTTTAAAGAGAGATGAATACAGCAGATATCCTATGTTTACAGTTCATTTAAATGTAAAGAAGTTCTTTTGATCTCTGAATTAACAGAATACAGACTGTTTGATTACATTGTTGACCTCTACCAATATATATGTAAATCACAAAAACACAAGCATTATCTCCCCATATGTTTTTAAGGGTTGAATTGGAGTAATTTATTCTGCAGGATGCTTAACCTGGTCATGCATCACAATATAGCTTAGCTAGTCCTATTTTCATAGGACACAAATCCAAATAAAATGAAGCCCATATAGAATCATTGCAATTTTTAAATGCTTCCCTAAGTCATAAGACTCACCATCTTGCACAAAGATATGCCACAGTAAATCAGTTTTTGTTGGAATTTGCATGCACAGGGCCAAATTTTGCCCTGTTCTCCATGGAAGAGGACCTACCTGGAACCACCGTGTTTCCAATGCACACATTGGCCAGGCCAAGAAGAGGCAGTGAAGTGGGAGGGAAGGGCTACATACCCTCTGTCCCCACAGAGTTATGGCCCTTTCCATAACAGTGCATCAGAGTTAAGGTGGCAGCACGACTAGTGGGTCCACAACTATGCAGCTCAAAGGCCAAAGTTCTTCGTGAACACATGTAGTGGCTATTGTCCCTGTGGCATGAAGACAGTTCAAGCAAGTTGTAGCTGAGGGTCAGATGGCTACTACCAGGGGTGAAAGTAACTTAAAGGACTTACCGGTATGCTGGAGTGCTGAGCAGGGGGCAGGGCCTCAACCAGATGGGGGCAGGGCCTTTAAATTCCCAGGCCCTTTAAATCGAAATTTAAAGGGCTTGGGGCTCTGGGTGCGGTAGCCCCGGCAGCGGAGCTCTGACAGCAATTTAAAGGGCCAGGGGCTCTGCTGCAGTAGCGGTGGCGGAGAGCCCCAGGCCCTTTAAATCACTGCTGGAGCCCTGGGCCGCTGCCGCTACCCCGTGTCCGAGACCAATGCAGGTTCGAATGAGTATTTGAGTGAAGGAGGAAAATTGAAGCAAAGACAGATTGCAATTCAAAACAGGTGGTTGTTTATTAATGGGGAATGAATTACAACTTGGGCTGGGGAGGAATACCTTTACCACTAGCAATACTATCAGAGCAAAAATATTTACCCAACTCTAATTAAAAAAGAGAAACAAGTCATCAATCAAAAGTATCACCAGAAGAGTAATATATGTAACTTGAAACAGTCTATTTACATCCAACAACGAAGAACCGAATGATCTATAATCAACTGCTCACTAAAAGCCAGAACAGACATACAAAACTGAGTAAACCGTACATACATTAATCGAATCCTATAGCACAACAGCAATTAATACAACAATTCGTCCCCTATATACTATACACGAGATTTGGTACCAAGTAAGGGAGGGGAAAAAAGGAAGAGGCCAAGCAGACAAAATATTTACAAAAATTGAAATGCACATACCACACTCCAGGCGCAGCTGACCAGCAGTACAGACACCAGTGGCATGACGGGATGTAATCCGAAACGACACGACACGAGCCGGCTAAATCCGGAGGAGACCCTGGCTGAAACGGTGATCAGGCCTATCAGCTAACACGCAGACACTCCTACAGATTTTGGCGCGGGACATAGCTTTATTCGAAGACCCTTACTCGTGCCAGCATTTGATTGGTCCCCAGCTCCTACACCAACTGGGTTCCGAGCTGGTGCCCTCTATGTCAACAGATACTGCACCCGGCACACTAAGTTTATGCACACGACACGTCAGTATTGTAGCACATGGTACCAATGTGACCTACAATTGACCAGGCAGAAGGTTCGAGAATAGGCACACGGCACCACGGTGATGCACATGACACCAATGTGACCTTTTGACTGACAATTGGCCATACAGATGCCATGTCTGAGCATAGGGTTGCGACACCCCGGGGCTCTGGCAGCGGGGCTC